GGGATTTGGGATTTTTCCACATGGGATTTGGGTTTGAGTGGGATTTTAAAGATTTGTAGTTTGTGCGGCATGTATAAGCCGAATACGTTGAAGCAATTTAATCCCAGATAGCCTTTTCAAAATAGAAAATAGATCGAAACACAAATATTATTCTACCAGCCAATCAAATTTAATCTGATGATCTGGATCAACAACCAATTAAAACAACCTTCTATCATGCTTGTTAACGACTGGTTTATCAAATCGCGAAATTACAAAAATTACTAGGGTGACAATAACAGTCATGGTTAGATCGCTATTATTGAAGACGGTCTTGATTTTGATTTTTTCACTTACAATACAAGTGCAGTATGCCTTTGGAATTTATGCAGATCAAGCTGGAATAAATGACTGGTAGTTTGATTTTTATTAAGCAATTTATATGAAGAATCTGAATTTTAAATTGTAATCATTTTATAGGCATCAACAATATATAGGTACGCCAAAGCGTTCCTTTTTTCATCGGCTTCCAGCTCGTGGGACTACAATCTTAATTGCTTCCGAGAGTAATGTTATAGCCTCTATAAAACCTTTTAATGGGAATATTGGTTAGTACAAGTAATTTATCGTTTCTTAAACGAAGGCGAGATTTTATCCTTATTATCTTAAAATCAGATTTATTAAATTTTATGCTAACAGAATTGATTACTTAACAGAGTGGCGCCAAGTCCTTGAAGGTGAAATTATATTAACCTTTAAGGGTCATAATGGCAGTAAGTAGACCGTATTCAATGAATTTTCAGATCACATTGTTTTACAATTAGATGATGATATAACTATTGTTGTAATAGACGCGATTTCTGTATCCAAAAATGATGGATACATTGTTCGGCTTTGGGAAATTCAATCAGGATTTATGCTTTGGGAAAAAAAAATCAACCCTGCCGGATTTAATCGTACAAATTCGAGCAGTGGTGACGAAAAAGTAGATGTTGTATTTACGACAGACAACATGAGTGTAGTCGTACTTGTCGGTGGACATACCATTGTAAACTTTAATAATATTGATGGTAGACAGATCTGGAGATCGGATTTGGCAGAAAGGTATTTGTAGTTTGTATAGGACTGTATCAATTCATACCTTTATATTTATATTTTTGTTTATATGCGAGTTTAGTCCTACTCTTTTACATAAGCTCGTCGAACATAATCAAAATATTTACGCCATTGGACTAAAAAAATCTTCAAAGTCCTATTCTATTGAAGTGGTAACTTATGATATTCAGACCGGGGTTTTAAAATCGAAATCTCTTTCTTCAAAAATTGGACACATTAAAGATATGATTGTGGTGGGTGGAGGATCAAACAACGGATTTATTGTTTGGAAAGAGGGACAGTATGTACGCGTTAATCGTTTGGGTAGTGACGCTATCGAACAATCATCGCTAGAGGTAACTACAGAATGATGTTTAGCACTTAATATAATGCAGCTTTTTATAAGGAATTCTAAAGATTAATATATTATTTGAAGTCACTTTACCGCAACGTCATACCATCATTTGCCGGTGTTATTGGAAACCTTGAATTTGTTAATCTCGACATAAGTTCAAGGACAGAATTTCTTATTCAAGCGCCTACAGCGAATGGCAATTCTGCTGCTGTGTTCAAGATAGACTTGGAAAGTGGTCGGCTAACGGCGCTCTATGATTTAGGACATAGGGTAATTTTTAATTTTAATTGTAACGTTTTCTTTTAAGTTGAATAATTAGAGCCGATTGCTTCTTTAGAATAGTACTTCAATTTATTCTGGTGCTCTTGATAAAAGCGAACAACTAATTATATCTAGAATTAGAACATTATCCAAGGTAATTCATTGATTATGTAGTCACATTCGCGGTATTATAACAGAGTTAACATTCATAATTACCTAATTATTTCATAAATTTTTTGCATATATTCATGTATGTTTTTAATAGGACCTTGTTAAAGTTGAAATTGTTGCACCCGCTCAAAGCTTAGCATTAGGGAGTTATGAAATTTCTTATTCTATGGCTGCTTCTGGAGGCATAACGAAAGTAAGGCTTTTTATGTAATATATCGGTTCATTTTTATTTTGTTTAAATTCTAACATTAATTTATAGTCATTGCTCGATGTTACTACAAAAAAAATTAATGAAACTACATCTGTGGCATATCGTATGCTCGTAATTTCTGATGATGGTTCTGTACATTTTTTTAAAGAAGACAGTATTGCTTGGAAAAGAGAAGAATCTCTCACACGTGCCATTGAGGTGGAATTTCTCGATTTACCAGAGAAAAAATTATGGACTCAAGAAGTTGATGAGCTTGGTATGAAATTCGATTCACAATTGCCTATAGCAATGATTAAGGTTCTTGGCATAGGGCACATTCCCATGAGCCAAAGGCATGCCCTAGTTAAAAATTCATATTTGTAAATTCTTAAAAATTTTTATTAAAATATATATTGTCTTTACAGCAAATAACTTTGATCTACCAGTTCATTTGATAGTTTATCACCAAAATTGACCATCTTAATGAGACGATTCTGACGAGTCTAAAATTGCTAAAATTTCATTACTGGATTACGAAATCGTTAAATATTTGTATGTTTAAAGAATTTAGCTACTTGAAGTTATACGATACGGCCTTTAACGATCTCGTGATCCATAATTTGGTTTTAATGACTTTAAGCTTGTTAAAATACTCATTGAGATGGTCAGTTTTATGGTAAAATCAACTGATAAATTAAAAGTTATTTGTAAAGGATAATATATATATTCAATGCCTTAAAATTAGGTGTAGTCTAAATGAAATATTGTTAATTATCTAATGTTGGCCATCTGAGATGCGTCAGTTGTGATCTCACGCAAACCTAGATTAATGAATAGGGTATGCCCATGTGAATGAGGGTTATACTTCAACCCAGGGCACGCACATAATGTATTTTTATTAATTAACATCGAAATATAGACGAACAATCAGAAGAATCAGAAACTATATCGCCTCTCACCAGATACGTTCGACGATTGATAAATCATATTGAGCAACTTAAGGTTCGCCATTATTATTTGCATATTATATTTATACTATAAATGTAATTTTCGGATGAAATAAATATATACCCGCTTTAATAAATAATAGGATTTTCCAGGTTACCTACTCACTTATGTTCAGCGATTTGCTACTGGCAATTATTCAGTTGATTCATCACCAACGTCTAAGGCAAAGACGAGCATATACAGAGATACTTTTGGGTTCCGTAAGCTGCTAATTTTTATGACTCGAACAAAATTAGTGGCTTTAGATACTAGTAACAAAGGACAAATAGTTTGGTCTCGGTATTTTGGTGGCTCAATATCCGAATTTCAGAAAATATTTGTCGTTAGATCATCTACTGTCAAGTATCCACCTGTTGTCGTCGCGATAGGGGTGCAAAAAAACCTCGACGTACGTAATTCATTGATCGAATATTTGCTGTATTGTCGTTAAATAACGCAGAGCGTTATTTAGAATATTGGCCCGAATTTAGGTCAAAATTTGAAATTACACCCTGTTCGACAATACGGTACTGATAAATATATAAAGTGATTCAATAATTTATTTATTTATTACTTTTAATAATAGAAAGGCAATATAACCTGTCTTTTCAGATTAAATGCGCTTACTGGGGAAGATTTTGTTACTGATCATGAAATAGTCGCACCTACAGAGGATAATGTCCCTTTTAGTATCCCCACAACCGCTCATCGAATTTTTAAATTGCCAGTAGAAGAACCTGACGAAAGAACGCACATAATTGCGTTGCTAGATGAAGATTTAAAGGCAAGGTTAATGTTATAATTTGGCGTGCATTCTGAATATTTTTTATAATATGATCTATAACATCAATATTGCTTATTTATTGTATATTTATGGAAACTTTTACGCGTATTTCTGGAATATGTATAGCTTCACATCTATCCAAACCATAAAAGCTCGTTAAAAGCTTTCCAAAAGTTCGCAACATCATTCTATTTTACACTATCCGAAGGTATTGGTGGTAAAAGTTTAAATGGATATAACGTTGTCGTTGACAAAATTTCACAGGTTTGTGAGTTATATACAATTTTTTATACTGAGCTTTTCATAAATATCACTTTAAATTCACACGTTCTATTAATTCCTTTTGGAATAGCCTTTCAGTATTAATAGACTTTGGAAGTTCAGTTTTCCCGAAGGAAATACTATAGTGGCAATTGGACATAAGCCTAATCATGGTAATAATATTTGTTGATCTTGATTTAGAAATATCATTAACAAACTTTTTCGCTTCATATATTAGAGAAAATTGCTTCACTTGGCAGAGTTCTCGGTGATCGTTCAGTTCTATATAAATACCTTAATCCAAACATCGTCGCCGTTGCCACGTTGTCTCCTTCATCGTCTCTCGATTTTTACCTGATTGATATTATTAAGGGGTCTATACTGTATCATGCTGCACATGAGAACGTTGGCCCTTCACATCCTGTACAGATTATCCAAGTTGAAAATACAATTGTGTACCATTTTTGGAGCGAGGGAATAGAGAAAGGATACAATGTTGTTGTATGTGATTTATACGAAAGTGAAAAGCCGGATGAAAGATTTGATAAGTATGTTTGTGATAAAAAATCCATAATAATGTATAATAATATAGCGTTTTATTCCTATTTTCTTTTTTAGTTCCAATTTTACTTCGTTCTCGAATGAACGTCCACACGTAAATGCACAAGCATTCATGTTTCCCTATGGTATCAGGACTATTGGTGTTACAACAACTAAGAATGGCATTCCAGTACGAGAATTTTTATGTATGTTTTCTTAATTTAACGCATAGTTTTATTCCGTTACTTTTACCGTTTTGACACGTAATTGGACTTTATAGTTGCGTTGGATACAGATCAGGTCTTTGGTTTATCTAAAAGACTTCTTGATCCGCGAAGACCACGACGCGCTTTAACGAATGAAGACAAGGAAGAAATGCTGATACCTTATGAACCAGCAATTCCCGACAATAAGAAGTTTATTTTAAGTTATAATTTATCGGTATATTGTTTCCCTTCGCCAAATCCTCCTTTTTTTTCAATACAATGCCTTTATTAATATAACTTTTTTTCAGATTTATGGAATTCGTCATATTGCAACATCACCTGCTCTTTTAGAATCAACTTCACTTGTGCTTGCATACGGTTTAGATTTGTGGTTTACGCGAGAAGCACCTTCCAAAACTTTTGATGTTCTAAGTGAAGACTTTAGCAAGGGAACATTATTAGCAACCATTTTGGGGTTGGTTATAGGAATTCTTATCACAAAGCCACCGGTATGTGACAATAATATTAAATTATTTTAATAGAACAACTCATTGTTAATGTAAGATTTTTTTATAGGTTCGACGAAAAAATATTAATTCGCGATGGTATTAAACAAAGTTGATTTACAAATGTAATTATGAAATGTTTCCTAGAGAATTAAAATTTATTAAATATGTGAATTTAAAAATGTGAAAATTGTATATTTTCTCATTAGTTTTGTGAAATCAAAATTTCGAATCTTTTTAGAAATAGTCTATCACCATTATTAATGAACTGTAAACTTAAACACTATCAATCTATAATCAACAAAAATAGACTAACATATTTTGATCTTTTGATTTTATTAAAAGAAATCTGATATCCCAGGTTCTAAAATATTGCAGACCCGATGCATCTACTATTTAAGAGTTTTATGTAAGGAAAGTCTAGCTATAAAAATAAGGATTTACATATAAAATATATTTGTGAAATAACTAACCAATTTCACTTTACGACATCTGACCACTAATGATTAAATTATTCGTTATACTGTATTTAGAGTATTTTCCGCTCAATAGTTATGTAAATTACTCTCAAGGGTTTAAAGAGTAGAGCTTATAGAATTTTACAATTTTATATTGTACCTGTTGTATTAATATGTAAACCGGGTAATCAAAACTTCTCAACCTTGTTCATAATTTGGGTTCATCTATGGATCACTGAATTTTATCCATTTTATCCATGTTATCCATGACCCGTTAGGGTGTTCAATCGACTAATTAATCAAAACATAATTAGGGTCATATATGATGATCACTAAGCTCGATTTCTTACTGGTAAATAATTTAATCATTTTCTTATTAGATTAAATTACATTTATTAACATAAATAACAAATCAAATTAAATAAATTTTTTTTTAATATAAAGCTTTAAGCTTGTATTACATTGAAATAGAGCCATTTTTTAAAAATTCTTAACAAATTATTAAGATATTAATAATTAAATTTATTGAAATTTTGATATTTATTTTTTAAATTTTAATTAAAAAACAGCTCTATTTTAGTATAAAGCAACATTAAAGCTTCAAATTAAAAAAAAAATAATATGATTTAATTTATTATTAGCTTCAAAATATGTAAATTAGCTAAATGATTTGATTTAATGTTTTAATAATAAATGTATATGGCTTTTAAATTTATAGTTCACTAAATTCGATTTATAATACATTTGCATGTAGATCTAGTTATATACCTATAAAAAATCTGAACTTAAATAATCATTATATATGACCCTAACTATGTTTGATTAATTAGTTGATTGAACACCCTAATGACTTATATAACCTGGGTCGGGCCGATTTTTGACCTGTGACCTACCAAGAAGCTAACTTGTACAGATCAAGTAAGACTTTAATATACTGTATATAAAAGTTATATCTAGACTTCACATAACAGTATGAGTATAGATTTTAATAAAACCTGCTCAGAACTAGTTTATGTAAAATATTACTTAAAACTAAAGAAAACTATAAACTGGCACCTGTTATTTAGAGATAGTTTTTATATGCTATCTGCTAACTGGCTTAGAGTTTATTACTTACTATGAGAATAGCATCTTTTATTTAGAGGTAGTTTTCATATATTACTTGCTAAAAGACTCAAAGTCTATCACTTACTGACAAAAAATCTAGCAGTGTGCTTGGCACTATTTGTTTTATTTTTTTTAAAAAAAAATTTTTACTTCTTCAGTTTTGATACTACAGTCAACCCTTTCTAAGTGCATCCCTCATAAATATATGAACTATGTATGCACTCTTCAAATGCATATTAATATTTATTCTCAAGTATATAGAACTCATAATAAAATGTCTTTTGTAAATACACACATCTTTAAATACACATTTTTAAAAATTTTGCCTATGATTCCAAGAGGGATACACTTAGAAAAGGTTGACTATAGAACTATTCTCTTCACACTTACCAACTTGTATTTATAACAAAATATTTAAAAAAAGTAGGCAAAACAGCTTACACTATCAAACAATCTTCATTATTTACTCTTTTCAAATTTGGACAACTTAGTAGATAGCAACCATATGTTTTGTTTACTAACAAAAATAGTGCTACTTTATGACATAGGTCATCTAATAGAGAGATAGTTAATAGTAATCATATAGTCAGAATAAATACTTGGTTAAGACATTGTTTTATATTATAGATATACAATAGGTTGTAGTTGATATATAATTTTTATTATCTAGTATAGATTTTAATAGTGCATTTTTTTTTTATATTAGTATATTTTCTTATTCTATGCTTTTTGTTTGTAATTGCTTTATATATTTGAGGTAGTTCACTATGTTAGCCTAATAGACTTTTCTTTTTGTTTTTCTTTTTTTATGTTTTCTTATTTTCTTTTTTTTTTCTTTTGAATTTTTCTTTTCATTATTTGTTTTTTTTTTTAGATATAGTTCTCTTTTTTTTTTTTTTTTTAGTTTAGATTTTGTATTATAGATACAAAACTTCTTTTTCTTTTGCTCTTGGTGAAGAAAAAAAAATTGAAGAAATTAGTTCTTGACAAGCTAATAAAGTCTTTCAATTTTTTTAGATCTATCTTGATAGTTAGTATATTCTTTAATTGCAAAGTTGGTACAACAGGTTGCAGCTAGGCATGTTTATTGCAGCTAGGTAATGTTAAGCTTGCAATTGTAGGGTTAATTTATATTGTTTTAATATTCGATGTATAACTTGTTAATGTAGCACTGACAAGACTGTCAAAAGAATAAAAAAACCAAATTAATTACTATATACTAAGCTAACTTTTTTTTTTACAAAACTAATAAGTTAAAAATTTTTTTTAGCTATAAATTTACAATTCTAATAAACCATTTTATAGCAGTGTTGTACATGGGACATGTCCACACCAGTGTCAAAAATTTGTTTTAAGATTTGTGTTCTTATGAGAACATATTTATTTGATTTAGTGTTCTCAAAATTTTATTTATGTTCTCAATATTTAATCGCTAAAATTTATTGATATCCCGATTTTCAGATTATATCAGACATTTGTTATAATTTTTATCTCAACCCTTCTCATATTTTATGTTCATTCATTTTCTTTTTGGGTAAATTTGAACTTTTTATTTCATCTGGAATTTTGCTATTATACTTAGAAAACATGCTTTTTCAGCATCATGTTCTCAGATTTTTTTTTATAGAGAATATATATAGAATATCAAATGTTCACAAATCTAAAATAATGTCCTCATAAGAACATGAGAACATAAGATTTCCAACACTGGTCCATACTATATAAAATATCCAACATTCAAAATTGTCCAAAATCATCCAAGCCTATGTTTTAATTTTAACTAATCAATAAAGTAATTTAAAAAAACATATAATTATATATTTTTTTAGGCACTGGACTCATTGGTAAAAAAATTAAAATAGATTATCTTAATAAAATTGAGTAATTTTAATTTGAAAAAATGTCCAAAATTGTCCCATATACAATACTGTTTTACAGTATATAACTCTTTTTATTTTATTAAATATTGTTTTTTTAAAAAAAAATTAATTATATTGTAACTAAATTATTATAATAAGATACAGTCAGACCTCGTTAAAGTCACTCTTAATATAGCCACAACCTTGATATAATCACGCTATTTTTTAACTCGAACTAATATAAAACATTTAAAATTTGATCTTTGTATAGTCACAAGTAGGGTTCCAAACCGGATTGAAAATCTTCGGATTTCCTTATGTCAAGAAAATGATCTACATCCGATG